GTGTAGAAGTTCACCGACGTTACATAGGAAAGATCTGACTCCATCTTCATGGTCAAAGAGTATGCCAAGTAAGAAGCGATGAATTCTATCGGACTACACGGCGTCACATGGCACAGGATTGCTCTCTGCATATTCTGCGGCATGAGAAGCTTAAATCCGACATAACCCAGAGCCGTCCCTCGGACTTCCGTGCATATTTATCATGCTCTTTCATAATTTGAGTTTCTAAGTAAATCAAGACATGCAGCGCGTATGGAAATACGATAAATGCTTACAAAATTTTGGTTCAATAACAAGGAACATCTAGATAGTAGATGCCAAGGTAATTTAACATTAAAGCGGAAGACAGTGAAATAAGATGCGACTGGATTATTATTTTTTTTTATTACTTGGTGGGGTGGGACTAGTCCCTTGTACTGCGGCCACTTCTGGCCTATTGTACCAGCCCCATATGATAGCTGAGGGTGATTGTGGAGCAATTGGTGGGATGAAGATTGTCAGGGGAAACCGAAGTACTCGGAGAAAACCTGCCTCAGCGCCACTTTGTCCACCACAAATCCCACTTGACCAGACCCGTGATCGAACCCAAGCGGCCGCGGTGGGAAGCCAGCGACTAACCGCTTGAGCTATGGCGCGGCCACGCGACTGGATTAGACTGGATTCAACTGGAGCATGTTTTTGTGAACACTGTAATGAGCTTACAGACTCCGTGTCAGTAGGCACTTCGTAACCATATGAATACCCGCGAAGCTGTGAATTATGAATCTGGGCCTATTTCGTAAAACTGATGTCAGGGTTTGCACGAGTTAACGCACGATATTGAAACTCAGATTTTGTGTGTGCTTTCATGTCTACCTAAACCAGCTCACCAACCAATAAACTTTATGACGTGGAACAGATGCCATATTGAGAAGCTGACAGTTAATCAGCTAGTCAATATATTCCGTCATTTACTGTGTCTGTCGCGGTAGCCTCGAAGGTTGAGGCGGGTTCGAGTCCCGATGAGGTGGATATTTTCAATTTAACTGATCCTTCTATCCGCACTATGGCCCTGGGGTCGACTCAGTCTCTAACAGAAATGAGTAGCAGGAATTAATTAAATAATTTTCCTGGGGAGTAAAGCGCGTAAGGCTGACAACCTAACCTCCCTATGTGAGCCGACTGTCTAGAGAAAATGTGTAGCCCATGAGGCTTCGCGACCAGTTACAGAAATAGCTTTACCTGTTTGCTACGCCTGAAGGATTGTTACGCTCTATGCAAAGTCGGCCACACGGTCATTTTCATGTGCTAAATAATCTAGTATTCACGCACTCAAACATCATTTCCTTAACATTCGATACATATAAATAATAAGTTGCTTAAAAATTCAGTTCCTACCTTACAGAGAGTCGAAATAGCTCAGTCGGTACAGTGACAGGCTACGGGCTGGACGACCTGAGTTCGATTTCCGGCAGTGCAACATTTTTCTCTTTTCCACGGCGTCGATACAGACTCTGGGGCTCGTGCAGCCTCCTAGCTGCTTTTACCGGTTCTCACAGTCTCTTCGCTTTCGGATTACTTATATTTTTCCTTCTACCCTGAAGATGGAGGCGATACGTTCCTCCGAAACGTCGGTTAACACCACATATACACGGTGCCAAATCCTAGAAGACTGCTTTCTTCATATTCACCGCCGTGAAAGGCTCAAATCTTACATGGTAATGAACCTTCGAAATCCAAAAGATGCTGAGAATATACTGAAGAGGTTAGCAACTCGAGACGATCTCTGCAGCATGAGGTTAACTAACTGTAACAGGCCTCTGGGCAGTCAGGATCATCTTACGTAAACAGTAAGAACCGGCAATTACTTTTGCTGGGGCTATTTCGAAGTGACTGCAAGCCGGTTAACATCACGAGAATGCGGCTGTCTGAACATAAACTTGATTAATGACCTTGGGATGATATTATAATAATTGAGTTTCGGGGCATTATCCATTGTCCTATTCCTTTTATTTAAAACAAATCGTTTCGGAGACTAGATTCTATCTCCGTCCTTAGGTAAGAACCTACTCATTTGGGTCCAGTTGATAGAGCTATATTTGTTGGGCACAACTGAATAGGCTTTTATAAAATGAATGTATAATCACAAAGTTAATAGAAAGTCCGTCGAGTGTAACAATTTGTAGGTCACTTTTTATTATTATTTCTGCCTTACATGTTTCGGTTTGACACAACCATCATCAGAGGCACTTGCTATAATTATGGAAACACTGTCTCTCTTTTTTGTTCACAATTATGTTTGTCGTGTGGACGCTGCTACGATATGTTGACGTGTAAAAGCACAAAACATGCTAAGATAGTTGAGTACACTCTCAAGTTCTCACTTTTCATCCGAACCTATTTTTAAGTTAAAACGCTAAAATATTAAAATATTTGATATAAAATGCTGAACTCGTCCTTGTTAATTCATCCCGAAGATGGGAGACGTCAGCTTGAGGTTGTATGGCTTACGGTTTGATATGTTCCTGTGTGCTGTGTGCTGTGTACTGCAGTGTGTTCATTCAGTAAAACAATAGGCATGTATGCCATACGCTCTAGAACACCTATTAAACTCTTCAAGTTTATCCAGATATAGGACATAACAGTGAGGCCTATATATATTTTAGGATTACAATGTTACCAACCACAGTGGCCGTGCAGTCTAAGGCGTGATATTTCTTCTTCAGCTAAGACACCAAGATCGTGGATCGAATCCAACTCGAGGCATGATGTATGTCTGCGTTTCTTCTATCTTTGTGTTGTTCTATGTAGGTAGCAGCCTTGCAACAGGCTGATCCCCCGCCCAAGGGAACCTATGAACTGCCTGTAGGATTGATATTTTCAGGTTCATTCTCAATGGGAACAAGCCAGGGGACCTAATGCGCAGGCTTACTGTGTATCAGAATATAAACAGGCTAGGAAATATGCACAAGGAGTGACAATTCTGGGACGTTAGCCCTGCTACTGTCTCAAAGATTCCCAACTGCTGAATACCGGCACATCATAAGAACGCCATTCATTCAACGCTAAAGCTTGAAAATGGGAAGACTTAACGAAATATTTGTGTAGCGAATATGTGAGTTCAGTTTCTCTCCGAAATTTCTGTGCAGAGATATTTATTGGTTTGAAATATAGTTAGAGAATTACGCTCGAAATAAGAGAAGAAACGCAAGGATGCGATAATAAGAATAATTTAAATAAGATGTAGAAGAAAATGAAAATGATATATTAATACAACTACGTATTAAGAATGCCGTCTTCTAGGATGTGAAGCCGCGTAGATCTTGTGTGAACAGACTTTTCGGAGGAAAGTATCGCCTAACTGGCGGCTAACTGGCGTGAGCAGATGGATGCGATACGTTCGTCCGAAACGTCGGTTCACACAAGATCTACACGGCTCCACATCCCAGGAGACGGCATTCTTCATAGTCACCGCCGTGAAAACTTCCAATCTAACCTATGTGCATAATACAACTGTTGTTTTTCTGGACATTATCCGTCGTCTTGTTTTCATTTACAACACGATGTTTCAGAAACTAGATTCGGTCGCCATCTTCAAGTGAAAGCTACTCAGTTCGGCCAATCGATAGAGCTAGTCCCTGCCTCGGGACGCTCGGGACACCCTCGCCGAAATAATATAAGGTATACAAATCAATCACAATAGAAACCATATGCCACAGTTAAGACAAACATTAAAAACTTTAACTCCGTCCAGTGTAGATTCAGCGGGATAATTGTGTTTTCTATGTTGGTAACATACAGAAAATGTATATCTCTAGTGAAGACATCTATTCTGATAGTCTCTGGTGCTATGCCTCATATATGTGGATTTCTTTTTTTATTTTTAATGTTTGTCTTAACTCCCGCTGATGGTTTGTGCTGTGCTTGGTTTGTATACCCAGTCTTCTGTTGGTGCATGTGTCTAGCTCTACTGACCGGACCCAACTGAGTGGGTTCCACCTGAAGACGGAGACAGAATCCAGTCCCCTAAACATTGTGTCTTAAATAAAAACGGGAGGATAGATAATATCCAGAAACACAATAGTTGTAACAATTAAAATATCTCCACAAATTTCAGTAAAACACTTGCAGCGTTGCACCCTCATTTTGGCGCTTACAAATAAAATGGCTTACGTGAGAGAGAGAGAGAGAGTGACGGTACTCCCTCTATTTTTATTACAGAACTCCCTAGTATAATATGAAATCCTATAGAGCGGATCTCGAATTCTTTGTTCGCTCCGATAAATGGGCACACAGGTTTCTGTGAAATGGGAAATCAGCTTTGAAATTATGTTTGAAGGGATTTCGTGCTTTAAAGGGTTAAATAAACCACTTAATAAACAATTAATTTTGGCTTTACCTTTATTCTCTGCCTTCTGTTTTGTTATGCATTCACGGCACATAGCGGCCGTTCACACAACAATTTTCTTAACGGAAGAAAAGACAAACAGAAAAAGGTGTCAGTATTGCTTCATTGTGATTATATTCTACCACATATAACACGTATCGCCATATCGTGGTATAGTGTCTTCTTCTTATTCCTGTTGCTCCCACTTGAAGCATAGGGCATCCGTGAAACGCTTTGTTTCACTTCAGTTTCTTAATCTAAGACAGTCGGTAGGACTCCTTGGACGGGGGATCAGCCCGTCGCAAGGCAGCTACCTAACACAGATATAGAATAAATGCAAACAGACATCCAAGCCTTGAGTGGGATTTGAACCCACGACCCCAGTGTTTTACTGATTTTTTCTGCTTTATGTTTATCGTTAAGTAAATTGCTGTGAAGATGGCCACTATACAAGTAATATAAATTTGAAACTATTTACGGAAACACTAAACGGATACAAAATAAGATCTATTAGAAATCTGACTCATGTATGACGTAATAATGAGTTAAGAGTAGCGTAGGATGTTAGTCACATAGTCACTTTTAGACGACATGTATAGTCCTGCAACCCCAAGCCGTTATCATTTCTTGTTAATTACAGTGTACGGATTTATTTCCCCAACAGAATCTTCCTGGTGGCACCGAAGCTCTGGCCGGCTTGGGTGGCGCCTTTGTTGGAACCGGCCTGGAGCCCAATCATCGTCTCGCCGGCTCGGAGTTGCTCCTCACTCCAATCTCTCCGGTTCTCTTCGGAAGGTTTTGGTCCCAGCCAGGGTCCGCGCCACTCGGGGTGCTTGTATGCCTGCAACAAGATCCAGTAACTAAACGGGCCAAAAACATCATGAATAGCCATTGATTCCTACGTCTTTCATCAATACGAGTTTTAGTTGGCTATTATCAACTCTGCCTGTGCCGAAAAAATATATATAGTAAAAGGTAAAGCTGTCCCTGTAGTAGGCCGTGGTGGCCCATAGGGTTGTGAGTAGTCGAGGTTCCCACAGTTTCTAGACAATCGACTCACACATGGCGGTGAGGTTGTCAGTCTTACGCGGAGGCCGCCCTTTAACCCCAGGAAGATTCATGGTATTCATTTCTGTTAGATGCTGAGTCGACCCCAGGTCCATAGTGCAGCTGAAAGGACCAGGTAAATTGAAGAAATTTAATGACTTCATTGGAAATCGAACCCGTAACTTTCCGGCTTATGGCATAGTGTCTCAACCAAGTACGCTACTGTGTGCCCTTTATCGAAAATATATGGCAACGGTTATCGATCCCGTTTCAACTGCAGAGCTTATGTGTGTATAGTAAAAACAGTAATAAGAAAAAGGTAAAATTTTCCCTGCTCTTAATCAATTAAGCACCACGCCATGAAGACATACGAGTATGAAGGAGTGGAGATATAGCTCTATCATACTTGACCTCGGCACTGCAGGAAGTGCGCAGTCAGCTTCACGTTCCGGCCGCTGTAACTCGATGAAAATCCCTCGGTACCTCTTGGACAGGGGGTTGGATAGACCCCGTAACCCGTCTGGACGCTGTGGAGTAGAGGAACATCTCTTGCCTTTGCCTGGTATCGAACCTCGGCCGTCCATCCCTTAGCCGTCGCTATACCAACTGAGTTGTGACATGGAAAGTTGGTCATGAATGGTAAATAGGTAAGGATTAAGAAGGATGCGATCATGATAAGTGGAGACACTTTATAGCAGCGGTTATCCGACGAGGCTCAGTAAAGCGATGAAAACTTTACCAGAACTGTCTGTAACCCGGAAAAGATTCAAACTGAAAAGTCTCTAAATAATTCTAGAGCGGTTTCACTACACCAGTATGGCTGGTTTGCCCCCCCCCGAACATGAAATAATATAAAGTTATGTTTCTCACCTCCAACTAGTGCTGAGGTCAAGTCAATGTGGATCCATACATCCACTACCCCATACGCCTTCATGGAGTAGATCTTAATTAGTTAAGCACAGAGACAACTTTATCCTTCTGTTTCTTTAAGACAGAAAGGAAAGTACAGGCCTAAGGAAAAGTTTGACTGTTGAGCAAAATGTAGAATGCGGAACAAAAGACAATAAACAAACGCCTAAGACACTGAGGGAAATCTAAATGTAGCTCTTTAGGAAACAGATGTTCACTTACTGTTCTGCCAATGGCGAAGATGGTCATTGTGACTTGGGCAATGTTCTTCCGGTCCCACAAGTCCACAGTTTGAAACAAGTCCACATCGGGGACGCCATAAGCAATACAGGCTTTCTGGAACCTGCAAAAGTTGATGGTACTCTTCAAGCATGCGTCATACATTGGGACATCCTTAACCCCTTCCATGTTACGAGAGAGTNATCGCGAACCTCCAAAACTCAGCCTCTAACAGAAATGAGTACCAGGAATATTCTTGGAATATTCTTGGGGGTGAAGGACAGCCGGCGCGTAAGGCTGACAACATCACTGCCATCTGTGAGCCGATTATTTAGGAAATGTGGAAGCCTCGACGTCTCACAACCCTATGGGCCTCCACGGCCTACTACAGGGATACCTTTACTTTACTATATATATACGTACATATCCTGTATATGTTCACGTTTCAAATTATCTAAGAATCTGTGGAACCGAAAAAGTGTTGTCTGAAACTGGGCAAAAGTGGAATTGTGGTGCTTTAATTACTTGCACTTACGAGTAGTGTGTATAAGTGGTCAATACATCCGTTCTCGGAACCAAACCCCGTCTATAGTCACACATACACGTGATAATATTATACTCTCACCTATGTCTAGTTCTTACTAGTGGTCTCTTTCCTTCTGGCGTCCCCACCAAAACTCTCTACGCATTCCTCTTCTCTCTCATGCATGCTATATGCCCTACTCATGCAATCCGATTTGGCTGAAGCTGAGTCTCGTGTGAAGCAGGCTAAAACTGTGGGTAAAACTTACTGGTTCAGGTTGTCCATCATCTTGTAATCGCCGCCAGAAGTATTTATTTTGGTGATTATGCCTGGCTGCAACTTGTTCATCAGTTTGCATAAGATAATGCCGTCCCTCAGCACATCCTCATATGGGACTCCGGGGCGGAAGCGCTCCCCCACTACGGTCTCAATCCATGCCTGGGCCTGTGCTTCCTGTTCCGGCTCCCGCTTTCCTGCAACCTGAGGGCAGAACAGAACTACAGGAAGTCCTCATAGAGAGGTGAACTGTTGCGTGATGGCAACTGAAGAACTGACGTTCTCTTATCCACACACACACACACACACACAATTTCAGTTACATTATCAACACAGGAATTCGTGTTTACCAAAATACCTCCCTACTCATTTGGTGCCTATTTTACTCAGAAGATCGGGCATTTTTGTAAGTCATCTCAACATAACTTACCCTCACACTCATTCAATTTCCTTTCCTTATTCTTTGTTACTTAGCTTTTAGTTCCATCCCTATATTCGGCCTACAAAACCGAGATTAACGGCCGTGGGCATTCGTTGCTCTGACCACAAGACACCCTCTACCCGATAAAGTTGGAACTAACTTCGCCGACAAGCGGCGATCGCTCGGTCGGTATAGTTCGCTTGCGGACTAAAACCACGGAGTTTGTTTGTATATTCGTTGAATTCTCATAGCACATTTATATAAGTTAAAGTTCATTATCATACAAAATAATAAAGAAATTCTATATTTATTTGTTATTATTTATTCTCTTTGGGTAAAGCGGAACACTCGACTCCATCCAGTGTAAAGGTCAAGAATGGTGGAGTTATACCTCCACTCCCCCGTATATATTCATGGCATATTAGTTAATTAAGCACAAGGACAATTGTTCCTTTAGCTGTAGTAGAAGCGTCTTCTTGGCGTAGTTCTTAATTAATTAAACATAGGGACAACTTTACTTATTTTTTACCTTTACATAGTACTTTTTTCTTGTTCGTTAGATTATCTTAGTCCTATATGGGAAACTGTTTGTTTTGATATGTAGAGTAGTATAATATTTATTACTAAGCCACCAACAGCAAACTCCAATTAAACAAATAAATCAAAATTGCCATATGGGTATTGTTTATTATTCTGTTGTCTGCTACATGTTTCGATCCAGCTGGATCTTTATCAGGTAGTTTTCGCAATATAACACTCGTTACTGAATTCTGTTTCGAATATGGATCCATATTAGCAATTATATTAATGTTAATTTAAAAACCAATTTCTACGTCTTCTTATGTTGCAAAACAATAATAATAATAATAATAATAATAATAATAATAATAAAAGTTGAAAAGTCAACACATCGTTTCAAATCTCTGTCAAAATATTAAAATATGCATTTAATTATTTATTAATTAATTTCAATTTATTTAAACACTGGAATTATTTGAAGTTAAGTAAATGTTCATGGTGATATTTCGTAGAGTAGAGGGTATTTTTTATCTTTGGAGCCGGCGTTGTTTTTAGTCCGTTACGTATATGATATGCGGGCGATTGCTCGCGTGCAAGTGATGCCAAGTTCTGTATGTTCTCTTATTTCTTTCTGTAATGTTGTGGATAGCTGCAGTGCAGTGTCTGTTGTATATGCTGTGTCTTGTGTGGAGATGTCACTTCTTCCCGCTGTTGGATACTGAGGTTGTTCCTGTTCTGTAGTTGAATTTTCACCCAACGACTTTCAAGAAAATCATCCGGTTTTTTAAAAGAACTTTTTCAGTAGACCGTTTTCTTTTCCATTTCAGTTTTTACAACCTCTGTTCTTCAACGATAGGCGCCATTATAATACTGTGGCATTATTTAGAGATTACGTACCTGCTACTTAGACTATTTTATGTCGACTTATTGATATAAAATTAGTTGGAAGTAAACAGACTACCAAGGTAACATCAGAATCTACAGAAAGTATGAGAAACCTGTACTTACACAAATTCAACACCGCGAAACTTGCTTGGAGGATTTAATTTTTATTCATATCGGCAAAATATAGATTATAGACTGTTTTACTGTGTACACCTCAGAGTGAAATATGTAAAACGCCTATAGATATGCTCAATGTATGGGATGGAAACCAATAGTGATCTCATTAAGATCTACATACTATATTACAAATATTTTTGGATTCGTGAGTGTTTAAAAAGTACAAATTATGCACGCTCTTATATGGGACTGAAGAACTGCAACGTTACTAGAGAAGATAGCGATGACGTTGGAAGAAAGTTGTGTACTTGCCCAACTAGTGCATAAATCCATTTATTTTCCTTGAAGCGCGACCTTTTCAGAGTCTTCGCCAAGAAGGAGTGGGCGGGCACAAGGAGTGGTCCCCTACTCACAGCAGCGCCATTGGGTGAAAACTAATTAAATACTCTGACTGGCAGCAGAGGAATGAGCTTGAAGCCTGTTTTGGGCCCCACACAATATGCTTCAGCTTGCCCGTAATCTAAACAGGACGTTTTGAGTCTCTGAGGCACGAAGACAAGGAAGAAGAGAAGGATTGGTGAGAGAACCCTCTTCCAGCCCGCCTTTCATGTTTCTCTGCCTGGCTATGGCGATGCCATTACGTGGTTCTTCGTTATATAGCCTCGGAAAGGACCCACATAAAACATTGTCTCTCAGCAACACTTGGCGTTGTCGCGGAAACCTGTTTACCGAGCAGTTGCCTAGCAATATACGTCTCCTCTGGCTCCACTATTCAGGTTTTCAGACGTCAAATCACAATAAATTTTAAATTTCAAATACTGATAGGCAAATATAAATAAATTTCTCGATGATTTAATTAAATAAATCAATAGAAAATACCTGCAGTGATTAGAGTCAATGCTGTAATATCACGGGGAAATAGACGAATTTAAGGCTGTTAAGGTTCCCAGGCAATGCCCAATCGGTCTTCTGTCAAAGATAAGTTGGAAGGAAGGAAAACCGATGGGAAGTTGACTGTTTCAGGATATGAGCAGAGAAAGGACAGCGAAGCAGGATTTGTAATTCGTCAGGTCGGTATTCTTGTACGTGTATTGCCATTGTGAGAGCCAGCTTCTATGTCAATATTGGGGCGAAATTTTTGGGTTTTATTTTAATATTGTTTTAAAATTCCATGGCAATCGCAGTGCTTTGAGAGACCACAGCACTTCCATATGCCTGGAGTGCATATATTTATTTGTCTCTGTTAAACAAATTCGAAAAACAAAAAAGGTGATGTGGGTTGAGAACTACATAACAGAACTTCCTGTAACACACTACAATATTTGGCAGCATGAACATTTTTATAACCTATCTTTATATGCCACATCTGAATGACGTAACGCAACGGACGTTGTATAGCGGTGCCAGAAGTTAACCAGAACTTGGCGTGCAGCACTGGGCTTCACGAGAGAAAAGCCATGCCAATAACCTCCTTTGCTTTATGTTTTAGCCCATGTGACGATGGGGCAAGCGGTAACGTAGTTGGTTTAGCAATGTGCTATATTGTTGGAGGTCACGGGTTTGATTCCCAATGAGTTCAATGAGTTTCTATTTACCTAATCTTTCCAGACGCACAGTGATCCTGGGGTCGACTCAGCCTCTAACCGAAGTGAGTACCAAAATCTACTTGGGGGTAAATGACGGCCGGTGCGTAAGGCTGACAAACTTACCGCCATCTGTGTGCCGAACGTCTAGAAAATGTGGGAGCCTCGACGTCTCACAGCCCTATGGGCCTTCACGGCTTGTTATATAGCCTACATATATATAGAGAGAGGGATATTTCTCGTAATGACATTTGCCCTCGATCTGTATCGAAATATATTTATAGTATTCAGAGCTACTCGACTTGTAGCCTTTGTCCATCGTTCAGTATTCTAAAAACTACAGAACACAGTGTTTCGGTAACTGGATGCGTTTCCGTCCTCAGGTGAGTGGACAGAGACATCTACTCTGCTGGGCCCCTTAGAAAGAGAAAATCTCAGTTACTAGACCAAGTGAGAAAGGAAAGAGACGCAGTTTCCGAAACGTTGTGTTCTCTGGTTTTTAGGAAAACGAACTTTGGACAAAGTCCCAAACCCCAGTAATTCTGATTGTTATATACCATCGTCAAAAACGTTTAGGATTTACTTGTATTTCTAACGTGTCTGAAATATTTTTGGGTGTGGATCGCCAGCTGGTAGTGACGTAGATTGTGAAGTCATCGTCAGAAAATTACTATATTCTGTTCTCATATTCGTTTGTATGTTGTTACAGTATAACAGTTTTTCAACAGTAAAGCAGAATATTTCTTCCCTCTCGGATTCTTTAAGCCAAAAAATGTTATGATGTAATGGACTCTTCGTCTGCTGTCTGAAAATGTAAATATTAGAATACGTAAAATTGTAATTTTGCCTGTGGTTCTGTGTGGGTGTAAAATTTCGTGTCTGACATTAAGGGAGGAACATAGACTGAGGGTGTTTGAGAACAGGGTGCTGAGGAGAATATTTGGACCTAAGAGAGATGAAGTGACAGGAGGTTGGAGAAAACTGCATAATGAGGAGCTTCATAACTTGTACTCTTCTCCAAGTATAATTAGAATGATCAAGTGAAGGAGGATGAGATGGTCTGGGCATGTAGCACGAATGAGGGAGAGGAGGAATACCTATAGGATATTGGCGGGAAAGCCAGAAGGAAAGCGACCACTAGGAAGACCAAGGCGTAGGTGGGTAGACAATGTTAAAATGGATCTTAGAGGGATAGAATGGAATGGTATGGATTGGATTCATCCGGTTCAGGATAGGGACCAGTAGATGGCTCTTGTGAACACGGTAATTAACCCTCGGGTTCCACAAAATATTTGGGGATTCTTGAGTAACTGCACAATTGTCGGCTTTTCAAGAAAGGCTCAGCTCCATGAAGTTAGTTCATTCGATGACATTATAAATAAGGTAATAAGGTAAAGTTGCCCCTGTGCCTAACCAATTATACTACGCCATGGATACTTATGGAGCACTGGACGTATAAAACCACGTTTTTCTGACCTCGGCATTAGTTGAAGATGAGGTGTCAGCTTCGGGCCCCGTCCGCTTTACTGCAGGGGAAAAGCCCCCAGTACACACTTGATTGGAGTCTGGGTGGGCCTCAGAGCCAGTATGGACGACGTGAAGAGAAAATTCTTGACCCTACCGGGACTTGAAATCCGACCTCTCGGTTGCCCAGCCCGTAGCCAGTTTCTACAGACTAT